TTAACTCTTACAATTGCTGTTGATAGCAAAATTAATTTTGAATCAGTCATATGACCTGTTAGACAAATTGGATTATTTTCAGCATTTGTACTTGGTCGTGTGAGCTCTTGGCAGCTGATTTTGATTGGATTACAACGTCCAACCGTCCTGAAAATTCATTTTTAAAAAATTTTCACATTTATGTAGAGAATATGGTAAGAAACAAAGCTTGCACGATCCCCTGTCAGATAGTTTGATTTAAGTTTTAAGTGCTAACGTTCCCCGTGGCAGGATCGCGGCGACATTGTCGCAGAGCATTACAGAGTTCTTGCAGAAAGAATTTCCTTTTAGAAAGTAAAAAATTTTGGTTTTCTTTTCTGCAAAAATTCTTACATTTTTCTTCTTCTAAAATTATGTTTAAGAGATATTTTTAGCGCATCGGAGGGGAAAGAAATGTTCCGAACTTTTCGATTCCCATTTGAGAAGAATGAAAAATAAAGAATATAGAAGCAAAAATTTCTTTTCAGTAGAAAAGTTTGAAAGATTCTTTTCCCTCCACAATTACACTCAAGAGTAGGACTGGGCTATAAATCGATATATCGCGACATATCGATTTAACGCCTATATCGNAGAGGGGAAGAAATGCTGGTGTTCTTTTTATTCCCATTTGGGAAAAATAAAGATAATTTGGTTTTCTTTTCTATTACTGATTTTACAAATTTTAATTACTATTTTTTTAAATGATTTACGAGATGCGAAAAAAGAAATAATTAGTGTGTTTTCCTCTCACAAAATGTGAGAATATCGCCCATGATATTAGAATAATAAAATATTACATATTCATTAAAAAAAAAATACATACAATTTTATTATATCCAAATAGGCTTTTCTTTGCAAATACAACGTTTCTGTTACTTTAAATTTAATTAATAACATGTATATTAGTTATTATTAAAAGTATATTGCAGAAAGATATTAGTGCTAGAGAGTTTTGTTGCAGAAAGCCCAAAGAAATTCTGCTTCAGGGCTAACGTTTTATTTATGTTTCTATTTGATTTTTCTGGGGTTTGATTTTGTTTAATCCCCTGGAGACTCCTAGCTTGCTTTTCTAGGAATGAAAGAAAGTTTTTAAGCGACGGAAAATTGGTCTCTTCAAGAGTTAAATCCCACTTAACTGAATCCTCTAATTTATTCTGTAACATGAAAACCAACAATAATTCAACCAATTTGTTCGATTCTAAACCTAAAGTTTCAAAATTTCTAAGTACTTCATTACACTCATCAATCATTACTTGAATGGAATCTGCTGTTGATTTAATATTTTTCATGTAAAACAATTTTTTACCCTGTGAAAATGCTAACTCTCTTTTATAGCCATATCTATTTAAAAGTGTTTCCCACGCATGTTTATAATTATCACTAGCTATAGCAAATCCCTTAATTAATCTTGACGCATCACACGCTACTGAACTTTGCAAATATTGCAATTTTTTAATATCATTTAAAGATTTATTTGAATCAATAGAACTTAAAAAAATAGATTTAAAACTCAACCAGGAATCAAAACGTACAGAAAAAGTAGGGATATCAAATTTTGGCAAATTAACATTAACATAAGGATTGGGAGTGGAATTCATCTAACTTTAATTTATCATTAATAGAATCTAAAAATGTCTCAATATTTTCGATTGCTAAATCAGCAGCATCTTTTGATTCAGTGAATTTTTTTATATTCAGCTTCTTCTTCGAATTCATCAAGAAGCAACAAATCATAATAAACTTCTTCGAGCTTATTGCGACATTTCAAAATGTTATTTTTTAACACAATTATTTATTGCGCTTTTTTAGAATTAATAGCGTCATCAACGCAATCGATATCTTTTGATTTCTTTAACTTGAGTATCAAACATAAAAGGAACAGAATTTTTTCCTTTCGGCATCTTCGATTTATGGGGAACCCCCTTTTCCACTTAAAAGTTTCACTTCGGATTTGGAAAACAGGAAGTCGTGATAACCTTGACCGAAATTATTTGATTTGAATTAGTAAGGAAAATTAAGTTTCGAAATAAGATTAAAGTGACATAAATATTTAAAAAATATATCACACAAACTAACCATAAATATTGATTACAGCTCTATTTATTATAAAGTTAATGTTAATTGATTCATAATCATAGCAGCAAATCATTAAATATAAATATAAGACTTTCGATTTCAAATGATAATAATTTTGATTTCTTATCTTCATTAAGGCATATAAATATTAGATTCCGAATTTATTTATAAATAGAAGTCCTCACTGGTGGCTCCAAAATGTTTCGATTGGCAAGTTTTTGAATTAATATCAAAATTGGCTTACCTAAGATTTCTTGCTGCTATAAAAGATAATGTTAGTTATCAGAAAAATAGTAATTCGATTTATAAACCAAGAAATGGGACAATAGTTGCTATCTTCATTCAATTTATTTTGATTTGTGAAGATGATTACCACTATAGGAACAACATCGCTAGCCTTGATTTGAATGGCAAGCAGAAGATAAACAGAATGACTTTTTTAATGTCATTAATAAAAGTAAAATATTTTTTTAAAATTGAAATTGAAAACAGCGCCATCTATCGACGAAATGTTTTATGAACTAAACAGTCACACTTATTACTATTTTGTTTATCAGAAAATGGCATCTGATAATTATTATCATGCTTTTGTTTATAATTAGTTAGCTAAAAATAAGAACCATTAATATGATAATAATAATCACTCAAACAAATAACTACAAATTTTTTGGTATCAGTTAAAAAATACCTGATATTTAAGTAGTTTATTGAAATCTAAAATAAAATAACAAATATTTTGTTAAAAATTTACATATTTAGCATGTAAAAATTTGGAAACCTGCAGTTGGAATTAAAAATCAGCTAGCTTTTTTTTATTATTATTTTAATCATAGCTATGATTAAAGCAGTACAATATACAACTGATTTAAAAAAAATTGGTTAAACTACCATTTCCTCTCTTAGTAAAATTATCTAACAATAATTTAATAAAATCGTATAAACAATTTGCCTTAAAGAGATTATAAAACTGTGTCTAGTAAAGCACGAAAAAATAAATTTTTATTTTTATGCTTACATGTTTGTATGCCATAAAAAAAGTTTATAATAAAAATTATTGTTCTAAAGCTTATTAAATGCTTTCTTATCATTCTAAAAGTTTCATGCAATATTCTTCTTGTATTTTTTCAGACGCTGATTCCTAAACATGAATTCTCATGATTTACGTGTTATTTTTCTTTAAGAATTCAAAAGTGGTCATAGTGCCTCAGTAGCTGCTCAAAAGGTTAATGCTGCATTTAGGAAAGCCACTGTTAATCAACTAACAATTTAATGTTGGTTTAAAAAAATTTAAAGACTGAAAATGAACCATGTGGTAGACTCGAGTCAAAGCTTTATGACTCGTTTATGGAATCAAACTCTCACATTACTGTTCGAAAAATTGCACAAGAATTAGGAGAAAGCACAGCAACAGCCGCCTCTTAACCATTGGCAAAGTAAAAAAAATTGGATAAATGGATTTTGCCCAAACTAAACGAAAAAAAAAAAGCTTTTAAATCTCCTGTACTTGGTTTCTAAGAAATAAATGAGAACCATTCTCTAACAGCCCTGAAGCAGAATTTTTTTGGGCTTTCTGCGACAAACCTCTCTAGCACTAATATCTTTCTGCAAGATACTTTTAATAATAACTAATATACATGTTATTAATTAAATTTAAAGTAACAGAAACGTTTTATTTACAAAGAAAAGTCTATTTGGATATAATAAAATTGTATGTATTTTTTTAAAAATGAATATGTAATATTTTATTATTCTAATATCATGGGCGATATTCTCACATTTTGTGAGAGGAAAATACACTAATTATTTCTTTTTTCGCATTTCGTAAATCATCATCATTTAAAAAAATAATAATTAAAATTCATAAAATCAGTGAAAGAAAAAAAAAACCAAATTATTTTTTTTTATTTTTCCCAAATGGGATTAAAAAAATCACCAGCATTTCTTCCCCTCTGATGAGTGAAAAAGGTATCTCTAGGGTGTAATTGTGGAGGGAAAAGAATCTTTCAAACTTTTCTGCAGAAAAGAAATTTTTGCTTCAATATTCCTTATTTTTCATTCTTCTCAAATAGGAATCGAAAAATTAAGAACATTTCTTTGCCCTCCGATGCACTAAAAAGCATCTCTTAGATATAATTTTAGAAGAAAAAAAATTTAATAATTTTTGCAGAAAAGAAAACCAAAATTTTTCATTATAAATTTCTAAATGCAAGTGAAACAATAACAACCAAGAAGTACCATGCAGAATTTGAAGTTATGCGTAAAAAATCAATTCAAATGCAGCTGGCACTGGTCAACTGAAAAAGACCCATTTTGCTTCATGACGATGGACAATCACATGTTTCATTGATCGTTGCAAACAAGTTAGTTGCATTAAAATAAGATGTTCACCACATCCAACAAGCATATCTCTTGCTTAGCACAACTTTTTTCAATGATAAAAAGTTCACCAATCTAGAGCAAATCAAAAATTACTTTTTTTGACATCAGAGAGCCAAATTTCTATGAAAGTGGTATAAAAAAAATAGTAACATGTCGATTATAATGGTTTTTACTTTGATTAAAAAAAAGTTATTAAAGAAGTTATTTAAATTTACAATAAAAAAAAATCTGACACTTCATATGTAGCAATCTAATACAAAAAAATTTTTTTTTATACATAAGTAGTTATGTAAAATTGTTTTATAATAATAATAGACTGAAACATGTTCATGAAAATTATAATTTCCCTGAGAATTCTAGATTTTCAAATGGTATTCTTAACTTTTTTGATAATTTATTTCTGTTTTTTCTTGTTCCAGAGAGAATGGCAGCTACTGGAATGCCATAGAATGAGAAAGAATAAGATGATTTCCTCTACCCCCTAAAAATTTTAGCTGGAAATTTTGTAGGAAAAATTTTCAACTCACCCATTTTGACAAATAATTGTTTCGCTCGAATAAATTTTCCTACCAAGCAATTTCTCCTCCACATCATATTCTCTTGTGTCATCCACTTCCTTCACTTGCCCAGTAGCCACTCTGAATAAAAACTGTACAATAAACTGCAATAAAACAAATAGAGTCTTCAGAATATGCACAATTTTAAAATGAAAGAGCTTAAAAAAATACATTAAAAATGTTAATTAAATTGCATTCAAACTAAATTATATTTAAAACCCTTTTTTACATTTCTATGACATCATTACCAGTAAAAATAGATGGTCACTGACAATCATTGCCTGTAACATCACACTACTAAAGAGATACAAGCCTTGAAGAAAATTTATCATAGTTAATTTGATATATGTTACACATTTAAATGGTGTAAAAAATTGCTTAAATGAGTAAATTGTTATGATATGTATAAAAATTTGTCAGTCTGCAGATAAGGTTAGATAAATGAAGACACAACTTTTTTTTCTTTTTTTTTGTGAAATAAAGAGAGAGGTTAGTAAAATTAGTCTAGCAATTTGTTTATTTTAGCCTGTTTTTCAGCAATAATACAATTTTTATTTGTTTACAATAGATTTAAATCACACTGTTAGTTATTATTACCATGCATTATATGTCACTATAAAACAATTTTTAATGCATAAATATAGTTTGAAACAGGGTTCCCACCCAGTTTTTTTAAATAAAATTCAAGGACCTAAAATCACATTTTTCAAGGACCTATTCAGTATTACAATTATATGCCAAATTACACATCAACTAGATTTTACAATTACATAGAAGCAGAAATTGTATATTTTTAAAACACAAAGCTTATTTGACAACAAAAAATTTATTTATTAAATTTATCATCTAATAATACAAATGGTCGATAATTACATTGCTGTTTCAAATCACTTAAAGAAATTCCAATTGACTAAAAAAAAAAAAAAACTCCAATTGACATAGGATACTAGCCAACATTTAAAAACTTGCATTAGTGAAACTTTTCTTGAAAAATTTAAGGAAGTGAATTAATGAAATTGAGTGAATGAATAATGCATATTACATTAAACAAGCATATTATAATTGATAAAGTTTGCGTAATTGCACAGTTATTAAAATATAAATAATTTTTTTAATATGTTAGATCAAATTTCAGGTCACAGGAAATTTATATATTTAGATAAAATATCAAAATATATCCATTTAACATATCTGTTTCAANATAATGCATATTACATTAAACAAGCATATTATAATTGATAAAGTTTGCGTAATTGCACGGTTATTAAAATATAAATAATTTAATATGTTAGATCAAATTTCAGGTCACAGGAAATTTATATATTTAGATAAAATATCAAAATATATCCATTTAATATATCTGTTTCAATTTTAATAACAAATTATCTATTTTGTTATTTCAGAAAATGAGTAATGTATTTTAAACATAACAAAATCTATTGTAGAACTATATTTTACAGAAAACTAGCTAAGACTTACCAAGCTTTATTTTCCTTAAAATATATTCATAAAATGTGAAGCATGATTTTTAAAATTTTGTGAATATGCGTGATTCTTAAATCACATTTAAACGAATCTAGATATACTATATGCAAACTAAAATTATAGGAAAGGTGAAGTAAGCCTCAAAGATTACTTAAATCATGTATCACAATGTGTGATTTGTAAATTGAATTGCTGTTTATGTTTCTTAAAACGGAACAATATGAATGGCAAATGGCATAAAACGCACTAACTAATAAGACTTAAATGACAATGTGTGATACATAAATCAATTCAATATAAATTTTGTTGCGAGATTAGCTAATAGTTTTCATATGAATTGTGATCATTATGATGAAAACTGCAATTTCTGATTCGAAAGGTGCTTAATATAGAACAGCTACGTGTGATTCTTAAATCATTTTGATGAGAATTGCAAGTGGTATTCTTAAATATCTCTTTTGTGAATCACAATGCGTGAACTACTAAAATGAAAATTTTGAGGCATGATTCTAAAATTACTTTAATACATATCAAGTTCTATGATTCCGAAATAACTTTAATTGAAATCATGATGTGTGAATCCTGATGAGTAATTTGAAAAGCAGTTTTAAGTAATATTTGATATGTGATTCATTAATCACTTTCATTTAAATGGCTATTCGTAGAACATTTTATATGAATTCCGATCCGTAAATCATGAATCAGTTAACGTGAATCATGATGTTTATTCATAATCAATGAAACCTGTAGAACTAAATTTTATTTATTAACAGTAAAAACTAAATGTAAAAATTTGATCATAAATGATAAAAAAAACTAATTACCCTTTGTACATAAATTAAAAGAAAAAATAGGATAACAATATTAACCTGTCGTAATAACCAAGCTAACTCATTGAACATATTTCTAAATTGATTAAACACTAAATATCATTCAAAAACTATGACCACAAAACCTTAAATTTGCTAGAAATTTCAGCTTTCAAAACATCAGAGAGATGAGCAATAATCTGGTGTGAAAAATCTAGGAAAGAAAAGTTTTGCATCTTCTTTAACAACTTTTCACTTCAAGCATTAAAAATTGCATCTATCAGAATTTCTATAATTTTCCTTTGAATTTATTTATTATTTTTTTACTGCTTTTTTGTAAGAAAGATTAGTACTATTTTAATTCCTAAAAAATCAAGTACTTTTCAGGGCCCTGATGTTTTTCAACAAAATTCAAGGACTTTCAAGGTGAAACAGATTAACTTGAATGCCCACAGATGGCGCTCGAACTGAACGAACATTAATGTTTTTTTCTTTTTTGTTTTAGTTTGATTTCTATGAAGGATGATCGTTTTTATGCTATGTCCGTCCTCTCATTAAATTTGTTTAATTATTAAAATTCGTTTTCTTTTGAACACAAGCGACGCAGTAGCGAAGTTACGGTAAAAAGATTGAACCAGGTAAGAGAGAAAATTAGAATTATTTCTACTGGAACCTTTTTCATGGTGCCGAAAACACAGAGACTATCACTGTTTATTGCTTGCTGTTTATAAGAATTTGAAAACGAAAATGACGGACGAAGCAAAACTAAAAACGAGAAGAGGCGGTTTAAGAACAAGTGCCACTATACTCATGACTAAAATTGACGAAGCTTTAGAAAATTTGAATTTAGAATATTTAGAAGTAGCACTTGTACAGCTAAACGAAAAAGAAAAACAAATAATTGAACTAGATAAACTCATTATTGATAAAATCGAAGACTGTCAACAAATAACAGCAGAAGTTGAATCAACTGAAGAATGTAGAGATAAAATTATTCTCTACAAGCTTAAAATTGAGAAAATTCTCAAAAAGACTGCAATCGAAAAAGAAACTGTTAGCGTTGAAAGCTCAAATGCAACAGTTAGAGACTTATTCCAAAATTCAGAAGCTCAAATTAAAATTAAATTACCTAAGATTTAAATTGAAAAATTTGATGGCAATCATGAAAACTTTCAGGAATTTTGGTCTCAGTTTAAGAACGCAATTCATAATAATCAAAATTTGAATAAAATCGACAAATTCACATACTTAAAAAGTTTTCTGAAATCAAAAGCACAAACCGGGATACAGGGTTTGACATTGTCTGAGAAAAACTACGATATTGCAATTAATATTCTTGAAGAGCGATATGGTAAAAAAGAAATTTTGGTTAGATCACATATTAATAATTTATTCAATTTGTCGCCTATTCGTAACACTTCTAACTTAATAGCGCTCCGAGAATTATACGATACGTGTGAAATTCAAATACGTAGTTTAGAATCACTTAGCATCGAACTTGAAAGTTACGGTAATTTACTTTTCCCAATTATAACTAAATTAATACCCGATAGTTTAATTTTAAATTATAATCGCGAATATAAAAACTAAACAGATTCATGGAACGTAACAAAATTGTTAGAGTAATTAAAATCTGCAATCGAAATAAGAGAAAGAACATTTTCATTGCAGAAAAAAGAATCTAATTCTTTTCAGGGTTATTCTAAAAATAGAAATGAAAGAGAATTTTCTGGTTTCGAAAATAATAAATTCCCAAAATTGAGATACGATAGGAATGTGAGTGCTGCTGCTTTAAATGTTATTAGCAATGAAACTAAATGTGTATTCTGTTCTAATGATCATAAAAATGATGAATGTAAATTAAGTGTTGCCGAAAAGAAACAATGTTTATTACGTCAAGGTAGGTGTTTTAATTGTCTAGAAAAATTTCATATTGTCAGGCGATGTGTTAAGAAACCTGCTTGTACTATTTGTAGTAAAAAACATAATGAAAATATATGCGATAAACTTTTAGAATCAAAACCCGAAGTCGCCCAAAATGAAACTATTGTGTCTTCTGTTGCAGAAAGTAAAAATTCGAGCAGTAATATTTTACTCCAAACCGCGACGGTATTAGCAGAAAATAAAAAGCAAACGAGCTGAAATACGTATCTTATTTGATTTAGGTAGTCAAAAATCATTTATCGAATCGGATCTTGTTAATCAGTTAAAATTAAAAATGATAGGGAAAGAAACTATAAAAATATATCCTTTTGGTTCGATAGAACCCCAGAAAGAAACAATAGATCGTGTTTTAGTAAATTTAAGAAATATTCATGATCCTACAAAAAAGATACAACTAGAAGCGTTAACTATCCACGCTATTAGCAATGCAGTTATTCATCGGCCAGAGAGAGAAATAAGAAATTTATGCTGCGTAAAAAATTTTACACTCACAGATGAATCACCGTGGGAGCGAAGTGAAAGTTCTCCTTGTGTCAGACTACTGATTGGCGCCGACAATTATTGGAATATTATTTCTGGTAATATATGCAGAATTCCACATACTTCTCTGGTTGCAATGGATAGTCTTTTCGGATGGGTCTTGAGTGGTTCGTCTTATTTAGAAAACAAAACAAAAAGTGAAAGCGAAATAAAAATGATGAAAGTAGTCGTAGATTCTTCGCGTGAAGAAAATTCAGATTTAATTCTGTAAAATTTTTGGAAATTAGACGTATTGGGTATCGAAAACGAAAAAAGGGATTTGTCTAATAATGATGGGGAATTTATCTTACAGGATTTTGAGAAAAATATAAAATTTCAAAACAATA